CATATCTTATCACTAAGATTGTAAAAGGGAAAAAATCCCTAGTATAAATCTTCTCTTTTCTATGAAAGACTCCTTCACTGAAGTTTGATAAGCAGTTTTATAAGAATTCAGTAAAGGGACAATTCTGGCAGCTTCTGATTAGCTTAATGCATAAAGCTGAATTTTCTCATCTGTAAAATAACTTTTAATCTTAATATTATCTTAGGCTTTTTCATGATCTGTAATACAGTACTTGATTTAGAGAGAGTAAAATGACTGAATTTCTATGTGGATTATGTATTTCATGTAATAATAACAATGACCTTTGTACTAAAGGGGTAAAATGATCATATGTAAGAGGCTGAAACCAAAGATGGGAGGTAAGTTTTTAAGAAAAATACAGTGAAAAGATGGAAATTGGGAGCAGAGCCTGGAGATTTCCCGATCACACAGTCAAGGTAATCTTGAGAAAATCACTTATGTCTAGAAATAGTTAACATCTATCTACTTCTAAAGAGTGTTCTAAGAGTTGAGTGAGCTAATATATGTGAAAGTGTACTATAAACTCTGAAGAGTTATAAACACCTCAGATAACATGTAGGCCAGTTCCTGTCTTTTAGCCGGTACCGTAATTCTCTGTGGCTTTCCTTCCATCCTTCAAGTCCTGACACTCCCAGTCAGTTCCCAGGTTGCTTCTCAAACCCATCTCTTTCTAGCTTGTTCTCACTTAGGTAAATATAATAGACCACTTCCATAATTTGTTCACTATTATGTTCTTACTGCTCCAAATAGACCCTGCCATAGTGCATACTTAGTAAATATTTGCTGAAAGAATGGTGTATTTTTTTCTGCCTTCTGTGTCTCTCAGCATGAATTTATTGTGTTTGTGTGTTTTATGTTTCTAAAACCCAATTTTGAAGATGTTACTTTTATTTTTTCTTTAACTTGGGGAAGGAAAAGGTAAAAGCCCAAGTACATAGAATAATATGACAAACATTTGTACACTGAAACGTAAGAGTAGAAATAATATCCAGGAGTAATTCTCTACAGGCTGCCTCCAAAAAGGGAGTTTCTTTGTGCAGTGTCCCATTGAAACTGGCTTCTGCCAAGTGCTTGAACCATAATTCTGTACAGTGCAAGACTTGGGCCCCCGGCAACCAATTCCCATCATGCCAGGAGAGAACTGGTGCTTCAACAAACAATAAATGCTAACGTGTTGGTTAATCCTGTTGACAACTGGCTACATCACTTACTATAATTGCAAGGCTTGGATCCCAGGCGCCTGTTCATGCCAGGTGCCATACTGATGTTACCCCAAACCATGAATCCTGACTTGACAGGGTAGGGCTGCAGCCAATGTTCTGCTATGTCACAGCACAATTGTATTCTGGTTTTTTATCACATCAGGGAGGGGCCAGAGTTTCAGAAATCTCATCCCTCAAAACCTCCATAGTCCAAGGATCCTTCTCCTTCTCCTTCTCCTCCTCCTCCTGCTACTGTGCAAGGCCACAAAGGGTGATGGGCAATGCAGAGATACGGGGGAGCTGTGGTCTTAAAACTGCTGTCGATCCTTTCTCCGTGGGTTTTCCCCAGTGAACCCTGCTGAGCATACATGGTATGTGTGCTGCCTGGTACTTTGCCTTTGGAAAACACATATCTACTCCAAACCAACAAATGTCATCTTTGCCTTGGAGACCTTTCTTGTTTTGTTAATTCTCACCTGAGGATATTTTTTTCCATTGATTTTTAGAGAGTGGTAGGGAGTAAGGGAGGGGGGAAGGAGAAAGAGAGAGAGGGAGAGAGAGATCTGAGAGAGATAAATTAGTTGGTTACCTCATGCATGTGCCCTGAAGTGGCCAGGGTTTGAACCTGCTCCCAAGTATATGCCCTTGACCAGGAATCAAACCCATGACCCTTCCATGCACAATCCAATGATCTAACCATGGAGCAACACTGGCGAGGGCAGCCTTGGATACTTTTTAATAAAAGAAATAAAACCATACTGATAACATTAAAGTTCCCTTTGCAGCCCACCCCAATGCTGTTCTTCTCTCAGCACTCACTTCCCAGAGGCAGCCTTTACCATAAATTTGGTACAGATTTTTCCTATAGAATGAAATCATAAGACTTCCAAAAATTTTATTCACTCTTGGTTAAAATTAATGGGAAAATTATAGATCATAATGTTACTTGATAAGATATCTTGATAGAAAATAATGGCATTAATTGCTTTGAGACTTCAAATTACTGTTATGATTATAATTCTCTGCAAAGCTACAAAAGAGCTATATCATTTAAGCTCGTGTTTGACAATAAGTAATATAAAAACTGATTAATAATTTAATTTCCCAGAAATATAATCTTTAACCTTTAGAATATTATGAGCAAAAGCATAAAAGACTTATTTGTATTAGGAAACTATATTTATTTACTAATTTATGGAATATATTTGTTAAAAGAAAATTTTGCTCACCAGCATTGAAATCATTAAAACACACATACACACACACTAGTTTGCCAAAAATGTTCAGACTCTGAGTTTTGCCTACTTTCTGCTTACATGGCATACTGATCACACAAAAAAAGATGTCTCTAAATGATACAAATCCAAACACAGAAATGAAACATTGTCTTCCACCTTCCAGTCTATACATTTACTAACTATAAGCATGCCTAAGAACACAGTTTTATTTTTTGTGTTTAAATAATATTACAAAATCATATTTTGTACTTCCTTTCATGAAATTTGCTTTTATTGCTCAATACTATGTATTCAAAATGTGTCATATTGACATGTTGAAATATACATCATTTAAACTTTGGTATTGTAGTCACTCAGGTGAATGCGCTATATTTTACTTATCCAGTTCTCCACTGATGATCATTTAGGTTGTTTCAATTACTTGATAGAAATCAATCAAGTGATGCAGCAACATGTTGCAGAGCTCCATAAAAGAATGGAGAAGGTAAGTAATATGTAACTAGACTTTAGGAGACAAGGGCTTTGAGACCTCTCCATATGGAGGACAATGACAAATCAACAGTGCGACAGGGCTCGGCAGTTAGGAAAATTCCTTTAAATGTCTACAGTCAATATGCATCTCAGCCAGTTGAGAAAATAATCTCCAAAACTAATTAGGATGTTTCATTTGTTTCTTTATTGAGAAAACATATTTTTACCCTCAGAAGAATAAGAATTGTATATGGAAATAATGCAGCAAATTAAACAGATAATTTTACTATTTTTGTATTAAGGAATTTATAAATATTTTCTTTTTTCTTTTTTTAAATATATTTTTATTGATTTCAGATAGGAAGGGAGAGAGAGATAGAAACATCAATGATGAGAGGGAATCATTGATTGGCTGCCTCTTGTATGCCCCCTACTGGGGTTCGAGCCCACAACCCAAGCATGTGCTTTTGACTGGAATCGAACCTGGGAGCCTTCAGTCCACAGGCTGATGCTCTATCCCCTGAGCAAACCAGCTCGGGCTATATATTTTGTATGTTAAATACTTATTATATATAAGAGAGCCTGTCATATTAAATTGTCTAACAAATAAATTTGTGACTTTGATTTATTTTTATGTATTTTCAATTTGTTTATTTATTTATTTAGCATTTACAGTCAAATAAAGTTATGGTTGGGGTAGAACTCTACCTCCGACATGTGACCCAAATCTAATAAACACATCTTCCTTCCCTGACCATATTTCTCTCTGGTTGGATATTTAAGTGGTTTCCTTCTTCTTTTTGTTTTTTAATCCAATTACAAATAATGCTATAATTAATTTCTTTGATTGCCTTTATGAATATTTCTACAAGATAGAGTCCCAGAAGTGGATAGTCTTGGCTCATATTGCTAATTTGGTTCCAAAGAAGTTATGCCAATTTCTATTCTAAACATCAGTATAGCCAAGGACCTATCTTATCAAATGTTTGCCAGTACTGAGCAGTTCCATTAAAAAAAAAAACTTTGTTAATTTGATATATGAGAATGCTGTCACATGTTAATTTAATGTAATAATTTTTTATTTCTTTAATTATTAGTGAGGTTGAATTTTAAAATATAAGTTACTAGTCATTTTTTTGTGAATGAAGTTTCCAATCACTATCCACTCTCTCCTGGAGTCTTAGTGTTTTTCCTTATTGATTTCTGAATATTTTAATGTTTTTAACATGTTTATTGTATTTACTGTAATATTTTCCAGATTACTGCTTAAAATAGAAAGTTAAACATAAGAAACAGAAAAACTTGAAAAGCTACCTTACAAATAATGGACATCTTTGATATTACTTGGCTTGTCAAAGTTTTACAACAAAGCTTTGGTATTTGAAGATCAGAGAAAGGTACTAAGGATAATGCTAAACCAATAGAAACAAATGCTTATTTTAGGAACATTGGATAATATCTAAAAGTATTATTTCTTGTAAAAGTTTTTGTATATATTTCAGTAAATTTTTCAGCTATATTTAACAGTTATTAAGTCCTAAGTAAATATTAGGTACAATTTTAAGTTCTTTCATATGACATTTATAAATCTTATGCTCAACAACATCATTATTCCAATTTTACAGACAGGGAACAGATAGGAATCATGCCAAGTAGGTAGCAGTTCTTGTAACTTATATTTTTTCCATTGCACCACACTTAAGATATAAGAAATGTAAAGCCCTTCCTTGTATGACACAAAATTGCAACTAAATAAAACCATACAATTACATAAAATTTTGACTTTTGAATCTTACCCGGCCAGAAGACAAAGCAGTGGGCATATTTCTCAGTTCATACACAGCAACCTGTCCATCACTGTCTCCCACTAGAAGGCAATCTGTTTGTTTAGCGAAGAGAACAGTTGTGAACTTGATTCCAGGGTTAGCAACATTCACAATTAGAGGATCCAAACTGTAATACAATATTTTATTTGTAAATTCAGTTGTTGTTAATATGTTCTTTGTATATTCAGACTTAGAGAAGTCTGAAATATTTTTTGTGATTTTATGCAATAAAAATAAAAAGCTTAAGCATTTTCAAAATCAAAATAACTGCTTCTTAATATTATATATCAGTATTTAATCATTTGAGGAGATGAATAATATAACCTATTTTCTTTTTATTGATTTTTATTGATTTTTAGAGAGTGAGAAAGGGTGAGGGATGAGAGAGAAACATCGATGTGGCATTGACACAGTGACTGGCTGCCTCTGGCATGTCCCACATGGGGGATAGAGCCACAACCCAGGCATGTGCCCTGACCGGGAATGGAACAGGCAACCTTTTGGTGTATGGGACTATATCCAACTAACTGAGCCACACTGGCCAGGGCAATATAACCTATTTTCATTCAAATATGTTTATAACCACATAAGTAATTAATATTAATATAGCATCCTGGCATACATCTTTATTCTTAAAGAACTCTCATAGTATAAACTATTACTTGTTTCAAAGTAAATACAGGGTGGGGCAAAAGTAGGTTTACAGTTGTGAATACAGAAAACACAGAGTTTATTCTCGTGTTATTATTAATCATTGCTTTGTTTTCCATATGAACAACTGTAAATCTACTTTTGCCCCACCCTGTACAGGTCTCTGTAACCAATGACAAAACTTTCAGGTATCATTTAGTTTGACCTACTTCTACTATAAACATCCCCAAGAAAAATATTAACACTTACGTGCTGATGTGAAGGTCCCAAATCTCCACTCTGTTCTCATTTGCAGCTGCAAATATATAGGATGATTTCGGGGACCAGGCAACATCATAAACAACATAAGTAGTTGGATAAAAACTCAAAAAAGGCTTGGTATTTTCCTGTTGCCATATAATAACGCCCCAATCTGCCGAACAGCTTAAGAACACATCATGACAAAACGGATTCCATGCTATTTTATACACTGGACCCTTAAATTAAAAAAATAAATTAAAACACATTGGTAAATAGTATTTAATATCTGATACTTTAAACTTCACCAACAAATTTAAAATGCTAAGATTTCTAGAAGATTTATCCACCATGCATTATTATGTGGGTATTATTTTAGCTGAAAGTAACGTCATAAATTGAATCTTCTCTAAATTATGCCATACAAAAACATTAAAAAATAGTTGATACAATACTCACTAAATATTAATACATATTATACATACTGACTTAAAAATATAAGGAGTGTTAAGAAAAAAGAAATGAAGAAAATATAGGTGGAACAATTATAAAAGATATGCAGAACAGGGATATGCAAGAGACAATTTTACTTTGGGATCAGCATGTTATAAGCAAAGTCAGAAACAAATAAAACTTGTGACTTCCATAATGTGCAAGAAAAAACTGAGGATATCTGGAAGCCAAAAACAATGCCCCACACATTATTGGTAGTTTCCATGCATGCAAGCACTTATTTTGAGTTGATATTTTTAACTCTGAAGGTGTAAATGTATTGCATGTTTAAAATACTATGCATAATGATATTATTGTTTCAGAAATATTTCAAGATACATTTTCCATACTTACTATAATTAAACTAACCTTATGTCCTCTGTAGGTATCTAGGTATTGTTCATTATATGAACAAGAACATTTGTGAATGTGACCTTCTTCAGTGCCAGCCAAATAGATATTTGTGTCCTACAACACAAAAAATCAAAATGCATTGGTTTTTGATACGTTAGTAAATGTGCTAAATAGAAGATTAGACCACTCAATATATATTAAAATCAATTCAAGAACCAAAACTAGAAATACTAAAGATAGTTGTCTGTTGTCTTTTTCTTTCTATCATGATTTTACAATAATGAAACTACTTGCAAATCTACTGTGCAAAGAAAATATAGATTTACTTTTTGCTGGAATAGAGGATATAACTTAGCATCCTATCTAGAAATTACATGGACAAACATTGGCTTAAAATGAGGAAGAAACCTTTTAACACTTAGAGCTATCTCTCACTGGAACTAGCAGTCCAGGGAAATAATAAGTGTTCTTTCAATAGAACAAGTCAAGAAGAAGGCAGATGACTTAATAATAGCTATTTATGTATATAATGCTAAGGAAATGGTTCTTGCTGGGAATGAGAAATTGAACTAGATGGTGTCTAGTTCAAAAATCTATAACAAAATGTATGTATTAAATGAGGATTTTAAATGCATTTCCTAGCCCTAACTGGTTTGGCTCAGTGGAGAGAGCATTGGCCTGCGGACTGAGGGGTCCCGGGTTCGATTCCAGTCAAGGGCATGTCCCTTGGTTGTGGGCACATCCCCAGTGGGGGGGGGGGTGTGCAGGAGGCAGCTAATTGATGTCTCTCTCTCATCGATGTTTCTCACTCTCTATCCCTCTCCCTGCCTCTCTGTAAAAAAAAAATCAATAAAAATATATTTTAAAATAAAAAAATAAATAAATAAATGCATTTCCTATAGTGAAATAAGTCATAGTTAGAAAGTCTGAAAGTAAGTGTTCTATGTCCTAACTATGTGGGGTCAGAATCACCTGGGAGCATTTTAGAACTGCAGAATCTCGCCTTACCCCAGATCTACTGAATCAGAATCTGCATTTTCACAAGATTTCCAAATAATTTATATGTACATTAACATTTTAGACACACTGTTCTAGTGTGTACCAGTACTTAAGAATGCAAATACTAGATCATGGGGCATATGCAATTCTAAATTACACAAAAAGTAAAATCCGCCCCCCCTTCCCCCCAAGTACCATTATTAATTTACATTCAGCAGTAAATAAAAGTTCCCTTTGACCCACATTCTCTTCAACAGTTGGTCATATCAGAAATCTTAAATTTTGCCATTTATTAAGTGTAAAATTATACCTAATGGTTTAGATTGCCATGTATGTGAATATTAACAACGTTGAGCACACTTTTATTTCCTCTTCTGTTCACATCTCTGGACTATTTTACTAATAATCTCTCTTTTTTATATTTATTTCTTTAAGTTTGTGTTCTTTTACATATTCTTTATTTATTAAATATGTTGCAAATATCTTCTCCCAGTGTATGGCTTTTTATTTTCTTTGGTATCTTTTGGTAAATAGCAGCTCTCATTTTAATGTAGCTGGTATTGGGTTGGGGTGTCCCTCAGCCCAGCCTGCACCCTCTCCAATCTGGGACCCCTTGGGGGATGTCCGACTGCCGGACATCCCTCTCGCAATCCCGGACTGCTGGCTCCTAACCACTCACCTGCCTGCCTGCCTGATTGCCCCTAACCGCTTCTGCCTGTTGGCCCGATAATCCCCAAGTGCCCTCCCCTATCGGCCCAATTGCCCTCAATTGTCCTCCCCTGCCATCCTGGTCACTCCTAATTGCCCTCCCCTGCTGGCCTCGTTGCACCCAGCTGCCCTTCCATGCCAGCCTGGTCACCCCTAATTGCCCTCCCTTGCAGGCCTGGTCCCCCCCAACTGCCCTCCCCTGCTGGCCTGGTTGCCCCCAAATGCCCTCCTCTGCCAGCCTGATGTTGCCCCCAACTGTCCTCCCCTGCTGGCCTGGTCCCCCCCAACCACCCTACCCTGACAGCCTGGTTGCCCCCAAATGCCCTCCCCTGCTGGCTTGTTTGCCCACAACTGCCCTCCCCTGCTGACCATCTTGTGGCGATGTTGCGCGAGGGCATCGTGCATAATGCCATCTAGGCTTTTATTATATAGGATGGTACTTTTTTGTGCCTTGTTTAAGAAGATTTTTTCTACTTTGAGGTCATAGAGATATTCTCCTACATTTTCTTCTAAAAGTGTTTTTGTGTATGATGGATGCAGTAAGGATCTAATTCCATCTGCAGTAAACTTACAGCTTACATTATACTCAATCACACTTAATAGTAAAAGACTGAATGCTGTTTCCCTAAGATAAGGAACTAGACAGGGATGTCTGTTTTCGCCATTTCCATTCCCACTTGTGCTAGAGGTTCTACTGAATGCAATCAGGCAATAAAAAGAAATAAAAGGTAACCAGATTAAAAAGGAAGAAGTAAAAGTCTTTATTTACAGCAAGCATGTCAAACTCATGGCCCGCGGGCCACATATGGCCCACAACAAATATTTTTGTAGCCCAGCTAATATAACGGTTTGTAAGAAACATTTTAATAAAAATTTTGTAATTTAATTTTTACAATATCCTGTTATACATAATTATTAACTAACTACAACATTCGCTAATGACTGATTACTATAATTGTGTTGCATTCATTTCCTTTATGTGCCCTATGTGCAGGCGCACCATTTCTCTCCACTAATACTAGCAGCGAATATTTTAGCAGCCGATTGCCACGTCATTAGTCTTGGACTGACTTGTTTGGTGTGCACAACAGGAAATGTTTCACTTTCGGAGAACAAGAAAAATAGGTTTATTTGCATTACGCTTATTAATTTGTATAGTTATTCAGTGTCTGGTAAGTTAATGTTCAAGAAAAAATATTAATTTTTATTAAAATGTTCTATTATGTTATGTTAACAATTACTCATTTATTTCAGCCCTTTGTATTCAGCATGTCTCAAAATAAACCTACGTTTCAATGAAGAAAATTGCTTTTGCTTTTTTGCAGCCCACATAAACTTCGACCTTGTTTATTTGGCCCGTGTTAGCTTTTGAGTTTGACATGCTTTGTAGACTACATGATCATCTTGAATTCCTCCCACCAAGGAACATTTATAGGACACCAGACTAGGGCTTCTCAACCCAGCACTACGGACATTTTCGGCCAGCTAATTCTTTGTCTGGGGGTGGGAGATGGCGATGGTCCTTGCACGATGCATTTATAGGATGTTTCCCCGCATCCTTCGACTTTGTTCACTAGACGACAATAGCATTCCTCCCCATGCCCCACCTCCTCCAGCTGTAAGAACCAAAAATGTGTTACGACATTGTGAAAAGTCTCCTGGTGGGAAAATACCCACCAGCCTGCCCACGCTGAGAACCACTGTTCTAGAGTTAGGTGAAAAGTAGATTACAGGAATTTGAGAATGAAGGCAGTTAGAATATGCTAGCACTGTTATAAAAGTGAAACATGACAAAGGCCTGAGCTACATTAACAAGGAGTATGCTTGGGCTGGAAGGAGTGATGCAGTAAGACTTCACTATCTCATGGATAATAAACACCATTATAAACTTATGAACAATAATAGATACAGAGGCAGAGCTGCCTCAAACTGATTGTCAAACTGCA